TGTGTGTGTGTGTGTGTGTGTGTGTGTGTGTGTGTGTGTGTGTGTGTTTATGTGAGTGTTTTGTTTTGTGGTTTTTCAAGACAGGGTTTCTCTGTGTAACAGCCTTGGGTGTCATAAAACTCCCTTTATATTGTCCAAGCTGGTATCAGACTTAGAGAGATCCTTCTGCCTCTGCCTCCCAAGTGCTGGTATTAAAGAAGGGCACCACCATGCCCAGCCTTTTAGAGTTTAATTTAAAAAAAAAAAAGTCTGTCAGTATATCTTCCTGCTATTGATAGAGCCTTTAACTGTACATGGCCTTTGACCCAGAATCCTGTTCAAGGAATTTATCCTAACCACAGAGATGGATGTGCATTAACATCTATGAGGCTGCATTGTGAAAGTGTAAAGATGGGAAACAACCTCCCAGATGTGGGAATAAGATTATATAGCTACCTTTGGCATATCCGTCAGACATAATGGTCATTATATAATATAATCCCATTTTAAGATCCCCAAATACAGAAAAATATTAATGAAAACATACCAAAACTTATTAATAGACAGATCTGATGACAAGACTATAACATTTTTCATTCTTTTCTTTCTGTATCAGCTAAATGTTCTCCAAGGGACATGTGGTCTGAAAAAAATTCTTATGTCCAATTGTCTCATCTTTTGGTTTCTATAAGGTAAAACCTAAAGGCCGAGTCCGCTGGACTGGTTCCCGGACGCGTGGCAGGTGGAGATACTCCAGCAACGACGACAGTGATGGCTCTGACAGTGAGAAGTCCTCTGCGGCCTCGGAGGAGGAGCGGGGCAAGGAGAGTGAGGAAGCCGTCCTTCCAGAGGATGATGAGCCCTGCAAGAAATGCGGCCTCCCGAACCACCCAGAACTAGTATGTACCTGCGCTAGTGAGCGGTTCTCAGCTCACGGCTTGGCTGTGGCTATTGCAGGGACCTACTGCCTTTAGGTTTGATTGCGATTTGAATTTTGTCTTGTTTTGTTTTGAAACAGGATCTCACTGTTAGCTCTGGCTAGCCCAGATCTCATTAAGTTGGTAGTTGAGATTAACCCTTGTCTTCCATTCCCATTACTGTGATAAAGCCTAGGAAACATGAAAAAGAAAGTTCATCTTTCTGTGAGCTGTGGTTCCAGAGGGTTAGAGTTAAAGACGCCACGTGAGAGCCTGGTGATGGGAGGCTCCCAGTTGGGAGATCCCAGTTCTATTTGCTGTTGTCGAGAGAGTGACATTAGAAACTGAAACTCTATAGCCTGCTGTGTTTCGTATGTCTGAGACTAGAAGATAATTCCAAATCAAAATTAGAAGCAATAGCTGGACAGTGGTGGAGCACGCCTTTAGTCCCAACACTCGGGAGGGAGAAGCTGGTGGATCTCTGTGAATTCGAGGCTGGCCTGGTCTACAGAGTGAGTTCCAGGACATCCAGGTCTACACAGAGAAACCCTGTCTCAAAAAAACAAAAAGAACAAGATTGAAGGGATAGCAATCCATTGTTGTATTTGTAAGATAAATGGCCCTGTTCTCGGTGAACAGAAAGGCAATAGATTCAGTAAACTTAGAGCTCTTCTAGTTGTTTTTGGTTTTGGTAAAGTAATGGATCTGTGCCTGAGACTTGGAAATTCTTTTTTTGTTAATATTTTTGTTTTGTGGGTTTTTTTTTTTTGAGATAGGGTTTCTCTGTGCAATAGCTTCAGCTGTCCTAGAACCTGCTTCATAGACCAGGCTGGCCTTGAATTTTCAGAGTCCTCCCAAGTGCTCCGATGACAGGGTTGTGCCAGCTATCTGGCGGAAATTCATAGGTAGTTGCTCAGTGAGATTTGTGGCTTTGTTGTGGTGTAAGCAAGTCTCCTTATAGAAGTAAATGAAATTGTCAAGTTTTATTTTTAATTGTCTTAGTTTGAAATTTAGGTTATTTTTCTGTAGAAACAATGTGATGAGTGAAGTTGGGTGCCTGCCTCAGTCCACACACGCCAGAGCAACTGAGTTTACAGTTGCCGTACTCCTCTGATGTAAGTTGGTTCTTAACTTTAGACGTTGAGAACAAGTGGTGACTCTGTATTCTACAGAGCAGGAAGGAGGTAGTTTTTCAGCCTTTACTCTTTCTTGTGTGGAATGGGATAGAATTTCAGAAAGAACATGTATACTTGAGTTGAACAAATAGAGAACATAGGCAATAGGAGCCGTCCCCTTCCTTTAGTAAGACCAGTGGTGGAATGAACCCTGTGATGCAGGATTAGGGTTGGAAGAATTGTAATGAGTTCATTTTAATATAGGTAGAAATGCAGGCGTGTGTGTGTGCATACATATGCAATTATTAACTACTTAATATGCTCTTCTCCGAGAGAACTTAATACTAGTGGCAGGCCATTGCAGTAAGTGCTCAGACTTCCCAGACCTTGGCTTCTAAATTCATCTAGATAGAATAAAGCAACCAGGGTTTCTTTATTTTATTAATTCTCATCCAGTGGGAGGTGTGTAAGATGTGTCGAGAGCACCCTGTACCTGCCAGGAAGTAACAGTGCTTCACAAACAGAAAATCTGATACAGACAGGCCCCAAGGACGCAGAAAGAGCTGTGGATCCATAGCAGGAACTGCTCCAAGAAATGAAACAGTAGATTTTAATTACAATTCAAAGAAGAAGAAATGTTTCTTAGTTCATACTGACGGGAATAGTTGAGTAGACCAATGAGTAGTGGGAGGAACTCCAGTAGCTTAGGAGGTCTAAGGAGACAGAGTTCAACAGACATCACTGTTTGGAAGCAGAGCTGGGGAGAGAGAGAGATTTACATAACTCGATTGTGTAAAAGGAGCGGAGGGCTGTGTTTCGCTGCCCAGATCCCCAGCTAGTTTACAGCCGAAATAATTACCCAGAAACTGTATTCATTTAAACACTGCTTGGCCCATTAGTTTCAGCCTCTTATTGGCTAACTCTCACATCTTGATTAACCCATTTCTAATAATCTGTGTAGCACCACAAGGTGGTGGATTACCGGGAGGATTCTAACCTGCGGCTGTCTCGGAGAGGAGAGTCATGGCGACTACCTTACTTCCCTTCTTCCCAGCATTCTGTTCTGTCTACTCCACCCACCTATGTTCTGACCTATCAGGCCTACCAGTTTCTTTATTAATTAGCCAATGAAAGCACCAGAAATACATAAGACTCTCCTACATCATGATTGTATCTTACTTTAAAATAGTTACAAATTTACTAGCTACTATAGTGATTTTGATTTATATCCCTAAATCTTCTGGTACTCCTAGCCCTAGAAAACTTCAGCCTCTTTCTTTGAACATCAGCTAGATCTGTTTATCCTTCATTCTGTGTTGTTGCTGTTCATGTGTTGTTATGGTGATTTGTGTGCATGGTATTCTGTGTTGTTGCTGTTCATGTGTTGTTATGGTGATTTGTGTGCTTGCTGTTCTGTGTTGTTGCTGTTCATGTGTTGTTATGGTGATCTGTATGCATGCTGTTTGTGTTGTTGTTGTTGTTGTTGTTGTTCATGTGTTGTCACTGGTAATTTGTGTGCATGTTGTTCACATGAAACTTCTTTCCTAACTCATGGGTTGGTTTTTTCTGCCCTTGTGTTCCTAGCAGTAGACTACGGGCATTAGCCAGAAGGTCCAGTGGGCTTTATTTTGAGTATGGAAAATAAAGTGTAACTTCTAAGTAGAAAAATAAATAGCTACTTCTTTAACTAAGTGATCAAAATTAATATCATCAGTAATAATCTGTATTGCTATCATATAGTCCTTGGGTAGTGGTTTGAATAAGAATGACCTTATAAAACCTGGTATGGTGGCGCACACCTTTAATCCCAGCACTCAGGAGGCAGAGGCAGGCAGATCTCTGTGAGGTTGAGGGTAGCCTGATCTACAGATTGAGTTCAAGGACAGCCAGGGCTACATAATGAGTCCATGTAGAAAGAAAAAGGAGTCGTGCTAAGTTTACGGGCTGAAGAAATGGATCAGCAGTTTAGACCACTTACTGCTCTTCTGGAGGACCCCGTGTGTTAGCACATAACTATTTGTATCTTCATTTCCAAGGGATTTCGTGCCCTCTTCTGACCCTTACTGTCACTGCACACAAATGGTGCACATGCATAGAGGCAGACACACACATGCACATTAAGTGAATACATGCTTTTTAAAAAGAAGAATGGCTCATCTAGGCTCATGTATTTGTATGTTTAGTTACCAGATAGTGGAAGGATTCGAAGGATTATAAGGATTAGGGGATGTGGCTTTGTTGGAGCAGGTGTGGTATTGTTGGAGGAAGCATGTCACTGGAGTCCAAGCCCAATCTTTCTTCCTGCTGCCTGCAGATGAGGATATAGAACTCTCAGCCCCTTCTTCAGCACCATGCGTGCTGCTGCTGCCGTGCTCTCTGCTGTGATGATGGACTGATCTCTGAATCTTTAAGCTGGCCCCTAAGCTTTTCTATAAGAGTTACCTTGGTTGCGGCGTCTCTTCACTTCAGCAGAACATTGAACTAAGACACCTTGATGCGACAGAATGAGCAGAGCGTTCTTCTTTCAGACACGGATCCCAGCATAAACATTTGGAAACAAACCCAAATTCAGAATTGTTTTTGAAATGTTTGGTTTCTAATATTCTGCAGACTGTCAAGGTTTTACACACACACGCGCGCGCGCATACTAAACATAGAATGAGAGTAGGGAAATGTAGTCAAGTGCAGTATAGTCTAATATTCTTGGATTTGTGGTCAGAAAAACAGCAGTGTTGTTGGGAAAGGTCTTATGAAACCTACTGTGTTGGTGCTCAGCTTTAGTTTTGGCAGATATGGGCAAGATTTTAGCTTTGTAACTGGGCATGCTGGCACATACCTCTAACCGTAACATTTGGGGGTGGGAGCAGGTGGATTGAAACTTTGAGGCCAGTTTATATCAAGACCGCTTCTCAAGGAAAAAAAGCGTTGTAGCCTTGTGGAAAGTTGAAGGAAAAACATCTGAGGATACTTGTAATATCTCTGTAATCCACCTATAAATCTAAACGTGCTTCCAAGGAGATACTTTTTTAGGTAAATTATTACCAATAGCCTGTAGCTGCTTTTAAATAACTGGCTGTCTAGACTTCCTCGCAGTAAACTCTAAAGGTAAAACTAGTTGTTAGTGTCTGAGCAGGGTGAGCAGGGCGGCTCTGACCCTTCTAGTCCTTTCCTGTGCATCAGACACTTCCTTAGCTGAATTTTCAGAAAGAAGAACTGTATTTCTTATGTGTAGGTAATTGAAATGCATTTAAAATAGAAATATTTTATAATTCTCTACATGCTAGTGTACTTTATGATACTTGAACTTTAAAATTCTGTTATAAAGAATGTAAGATTACCCTTATGGCAAACTAAAAATTGATTCCAGTTCAGAAAAAGGGCTTACTGTATTTCACTAATTTCTACATCATGAAATTTTCTTAGGTTGTCAAAGGGAATGCTTTTTAATTTTTAAATTCTTTTTGTTTTGTTTTGTTTTGTTTTCTGTTTTTATGTGACAGGGTTTCTATGTGTAGCCCTGGCTGTTCTTGAACTTGCTTTGTGGACCAGGCTAGCCTCTGATTCAGAGATCCACCTGTCTCTGCCTCCCTGGTGTTGATTAAAGGCCGTGCACCACCACCACCCAGTCCAACTCAATATTTTAAAAAAATCATTTTCTACCACTAAGTGTCATTTATTTCATTCCTTGTCTTTATGCAAACACCAGACGTTCATGGTAGTGTACTAAGAAGTACTGAAATGTCAGTCTTCATGAGGAATGGTGTCATGGCTGTACAAACTCAGCACTGTGGAGGCTGAGGAAAGGGAGGGAGGGAGGGAGGGAGGGAGGGAGGGAGGGAGGGAGGGAGGGAGGAAGGAAGGAAGGAAGGAAGAGACCATTATTTTAACAAGATGCAGATGGGTTGACATTACTGTGGTTTATTTCAGATTCTCCTGTGCGATTCCTGCGACAGTGGCTACCACACCGCCTGCCTCCGGCCCCCACTGATGGTCATCCCCGATGGGGAATGGTTCTGCCCTCCTTGCCAGCATGTACGACCCCGCCTAGTTCTCTCTCCAGCCCTCAGTTTGATATTCAATGCCTTACTAATACTTTTTAGCAGTCATAAATGCCTTCCTGTTCAAAGCAGTTGTTAGTAGTGTCTGCCTTTCTTTGGGTCTCTACCTTCTATTCTTATCTTAGCCTTGCCTTCTGTCTTCTAGAAGACGTCTGGCTTTTGTAAAACCATCTGTTTTCTACTCACATTTATAATAAATATAAATAACTCCAACTTTTTATGTGTGTGTGTATATATATGAATGAAAGTGAAATGAATGTTTCTGTAGTTTACCCCATTTTTAAAATCTCACTTTTCATTACTGTATCTCTTTTTGTTGCTAGCACTGGAAGATATATCAGTCTGTTCTGTATTGATTCACAGAGTTTCTTGTAAAACCAGACAACAATAGATTTCTGTTGGCTGCACCAATTGGATACTTTGTTTTACAAGACCAACTTTATTTTGCTTTCACCATAATGTCTTTATGCCGTTTCTGTAAAATTACTTGTCTTGCTTAGCATAGCCCAATGTGTGACATTTTTAATTCTCTGTTTTGATCCAGTAACCATGTAGCATTGTTTGTATATTCTTATATTGGCTTTATGCTTTGTCATATATACTTTTTTCAAAATTATTTTGATAGCCCTTTTCAATATAATCTTGTACTGAACAGTAAAGAATGAACAATGAAAGCAGGACCCGCACAGAACATGTCCTTTGTAGAGCCGTGCTTGTCCAGCCTGCTTTCATACTGAAGCACTGTGCGCAGTATCTGTGAAGTGGGTCCTGACCACCTTTTAAACAAAGCATTTTCAGTGCATAAGGCTTTTTATTATGAAGCTTATAAAAATAGTAGGGGCTGGAGAAATGGCTCAATGGTTAAAAGTGTTGGCTGTTATTCCAGAGGAACCTGGTTCAATTTCCAGCACCCACATGGCAGCTCATAACTGTATGTATTTTCAATTCCCTGGAATCTGACAGCTTCACACCAATGCCCATGAAGTAAAGATAAAATAAATAATAATAATAAGCCTTAAGATTAATAATAAGTTATGTAATGTATGGTTGTGTTGTTCAAAATAATATGTGTGTGTGTTATGTATGTGTATATATGTGAATGTGTTATGTATATATATTTATTTCTCCTTTAGAAACTACTGTGTGAAAAATTAGAAGAACAATTGCAAGATTTGGACGTTGCTTTAAAGAAGAAAGAGCGTGCTGAGCGAAGGTAAATTGATATATGTGTTAATGTTTTCCTTGGGAATTTGGCAGTAAAATCGTCTTGCAGTTTAGATGAACATAGCCATCTAAATCAATGACTGGCAGCCTATAGCAAGTCAAGTCTGGTCTGCTGCTGCTTTTGCACTGCCTTCTAGGGATGGTTTTCATGCTCATAAAACATTGCTATAGAATCATTTCATGATGTATGGACACACATAATATTCACATTTCTTTCTTTTTTTTTCTTCTTCTTCTTTTTTTTTTTTTTTTTTTTTGGATTTTTGAGACAGGGTTTCTCTGTTGTTTTTGGTGTTTGTCCTGGAACTAGCTCTTGTAGACCAGGCTGGCCTCGAACTCACAGAGATCCACCTGCCTCTGCCTCCCAAGTGCTGGGATTAAAGGCGTGTTTCACCATCGCCTGGCGGATATTCACATTTCATACCCCATAAATAGACTTTACTAGAACAGTTTTGCTCATCTTTTTGTCTGTTTATTATGGCTGCTTTGGCACTACAACAGTGTAGTTGAGTAGCTCAGTAAGATCCGTAACTTCCCACACGTGAAATACTATGTGCCCGTTTACACACAGATTTGCCAACCCCCTTGTAGAATATCAGAGTCTGCTGTGGAGGAAATGTACTTAACTATTACTGAACACGGGAAATTATAAGATCTCACTCTAATTCATTTACTCACATTGTCTTTCCTGGTGGATCATTTCATTACTGATGGTCTGACACTGTTCTCATTGTGTCGCTGGACTGTAGTCTGAAACAGCTGGGATAGCTTCTTTCTTGTTCAGAATGAATACTGTAAGCTTATGGGTTTGTACTTTCTTGGTCATCCCATTTCTAAACATTCATTCAAATCCATGGCATACCCAACTGAAAAGAACAGATGAATATATGAATCTCACTTTCTACCAGACAATACAGAGACCCAATGGGATGAGAGACAGAATGTTGTAATAAGGCCGCCTGTTTGTTTCCTGGCCGCCCAACCCAGAAATAACCACACAGATACTGTTTTAATTAAATCACTGCTTGGGCCATTAGTTCTTGCTTAATTTAACCCATCCTCATTATTTTATAATAATGTTTATTACCATAGACTTTTCCTCCCTCATGAGACAGGGTTTCTTTGTGTAACCCTGGCTGTTCGGGGAACTCACTTTGTAGACCAGGCTAGCCTCAAACTCACGGAGATCCACCTGCCCCTGCCTCCCATGTTCTGGGATTAAAGCTGTGCACCACTACTGCCCAACTATTACCATAGACTTTCAATTGTATACTACACTCAGAACATTACCCAGGACATCTAATTTGCAAACATCTAGTTTGTCTGACTTAATCAGAGTTAGCTTTCCAAATCTAACCACCTTGTCAACTCACAGTTTGTAGTTTGTCTATTGTAGTTCAAAAGCACAGCTTTCATATAGGTAAGAAAGTTTGTGCTTTTTATCAATACTGTTTACAATGATATTTTCATACAAGTTTTATTTATAGCAAATCTTATTTTGCTTCTTTGGTTTTGGTTTTAAGGAAAGAACGCTTGGTGTATGTTGGTATCAGTATCGAAAACATCATTCCTCCACAAGTAAGTTTCCAGTTTCTAGTATTTTTCAGAATTTTGTGTGTGACTGTTTTGCCTACATGTGTAGCCCGTGACCTTATACGTGCCTAGTGCCCACAGAGGTCAGAAGAGGTGCCAGATCCCCTGGAAACTGGAGTTAGAGATGACTATGAGCCACTTGTGGGTGCCAGGATTCGAGCCTGAGTCCTCTGAAGAGCAGCCAGGGCTTCCCCACTGAGCCATTTTCAGTCCAGGGCTTTTAGTGTTTTTAGAGGAGACGCTCTGTAGCTTCTAAAGTTTAACCCAGTTATATGCCATTTTAATATTTAACATGCCTGTTCTATTAAAGCACACGGAGAAATAACTTTTCAAATTATTATTTATAAATAGATAATTCAATATGATTATCATATTCAAACCAAATTATAGCTCATTGCTTTGGGGTAATGTTCTATTGTTTCTTTTGTTAATGGAGCAATTTGTGGTTAGCCTTATAATGTATGTGCATAAAATAGCTAAAGAATAGCTTGGGAATATTTTAATTTGGTACTATTGAAACTTTAATTTTTATTATAATTTCATTTCTTTGAAGAACTACCATTATTCCCATTTGTTAGTCTATAATTGAGCATACCTCATGAGTGAATGTACATGAAGTTTAGTTTGCAACTTGACTTTGTTGTGGTTTTGTTACTGCTGTTGATTTTAGATGAAGTCTGTATCCTGGCTAGCCTGGGACTCACAGATCTACCTCCTCTTTCTCTTATACGCTGGTTTTGAAGGCTGGGATCAGAGGTGTGAGCTACAACATCCAATGGTTTCCAGATGAAGTTTTCTGTTCATGATTAAATCACAGCCTTGAGTAGCTTGCCAAGTTGTTCTTCTTCAGTTTAAATGAAATCATCCCATGAATTCAGCATCTGTATCTAGTTTTCTGTCTTTCAAATTTAATTATTGGTTAAAAAATCGAATTGGGCCGGGCGCTGGTGGTGCAGGCCCTTAATCCCAGCACTTGGGAGGCAGAGGCAGGAGGATCTCTCTGGGTTTGAGGACAGCCTGCTCTACAGAGCAATTTCTAGGAATTCTGTTTTGAGGCGGGGAAAAAACCAAAAAACATTTAATTGGTAGAAAAATTTCATTCTGGTTATTTTAATAACAAACTGTTGTAAACTCAGAAATATACTAATTTCAACACATAAATCCGTTTTAATTTGTATAATTAGTTTTCCCCTCTATATTCATTGTGATAGATAATCTATAGTTTTTAGACCACGTGTGTTGCCTAGGTAGAATAATAAAGCTGCTAATTCCAAGGACTCTTCCTCTGTCATTTATTTTTAAAGGAACCAGATTTTTCTGAAGATCAAGAAGAAAAGAAAAAAGATGCAAAAAAATCCAAAGCAAACTTACTAGAAAGGAGATCAACAAGAACAAGGAAATGTATAAGCTACAGGTAGAAAATAAAAGAAAGTTATTAGAGTCCTTGTTCCTCATGACTATTTCCGGTTCTCTCAGCACTCTGCTTTGTAACTGATGTGTGTCACTTGTGTGCAAGGTCATATGTCCATACACCCATACACACACACACACACACACAAAGCATTTTTTAAAATTTATTTATTTATTATGTATACAGTATTCTGTCTGTGTGTATGTCTGCAGGCCAGAAGAGGGCACCAGACCTCATTACAGATGGTTGTGAGCCACCATGTGGTTGCCGGGAATTGAACTCAGGACCTTTGGAAGGGCAGGCAATGCTCTTAATCACTGAGCCATCTCTCCAGCCCCCCACACAAGCATATTTACATGTCAAGATTTCTTAAAGAAATTCTTGATTTTGTTAGCCTGGCTAAGCTAGTTCAGCCTATGGTCATGTAAGTCCTAAACTAAGCCGCCTCTTTCTTATATAGCAATCTTAGGTATCATCTCTTGTTCCTTTTCTTTAAACCAGAGGAAATAGTCCTTTAAGCAAAAGTACATTTATCTAGTTGTAAATTTTGACCACACGTATATGAATTTCTACAGCAGAGTTATTTTCAATAGTAATGATACCTGGCTTTAACACTTTCTATGGAACAGTAACTTTGTCCAGATTTCTTTGCCATGTGACTTAAATGGTTAGAGTTTAGTCTGTAGGCCACAGCTAGCCCACCTGGAGGTTCTTGTTGACCGAGACTGTGTGCTTGTTTCCCAGCTGTCCATAACAACACAGAAGTTATTGTAACTTAAACAACTGCTTGGCCTATTCCTATTATTTTGTACTTTAACACAAGGCTCATGGTTTCCTGGAAGGTTCCAGGGCGGCTGTCTCCTTTGTCAGCTACATGGCATCTCCTCAACTCCACCTTCTTTTCCCTCTATCTCTACTTCGAATTCCTGCCTTGCTTTATTCTGCCCTGTCATAGGCCTAAGTAGCTTCCTTAGTATTAACCAGTAAGAGCAATACATGTGCGGAAGGACATCACCTCAGGTTCTGTAGAGTCTGTATCCCAAGAATGGCTTTTATGTGTATAAATGATTGAAGCAAAGCATTTTATGAGCACCATATGTAAGGGATATTTCTGTGTCTGAAGGTTTGTCACATGGCCATCGGCATTTACTTGACATTTGATTTACAGTGGCACAGTTCAGGACTTTATAATCCAGAGAGCTAAAGTTTACTATCTGATCAGCGGTATTGGCTGTCTAGAGAATGTGTGAGTGTAGAGTGCCTTCCGTGCATGCTGATGTGAAAGCATGAAGGATCCACAGATCCAGAGGCTTTCCAGAGCCCAAGATCACAGTCCTGACAGACTGGTTCTGACTTTCCCAGGGCGCCTTCTCTGTGCTCACATAGCAGCCGTTCTAGGACGGATCTAATGTCTGCTTCTGTACGGATAGGGCTGTTCTCTTGCTTTAACTTCTCACGGCAGAGGAAACCAAGGCACCCTTGTTTTCTCATGAGTGACCTGTGCCATTAGACCATCACATATGAGTTGGGTGGGGACACAAACAGACTCTTGGAGCCACTTTGTGTAGGTTGTCTTTGGAAATCAAACACAGATACAGTACGCAATCTGATCACTGTGTTCATTTTAGGTTTGATGAGTTCGATGAAGCGATTGATGAAGCTATAGAAGATGATATCAAGGAGGCTGATGGAGGGGGTATGTTTCACGTTTATTCCTTTTCACGTATTTCCCCCAGCAGATTATTCCCCTCCCCAGTGCTAACACTGAATGAACTTGCTCATATTCAAAGTAATTTGCTTACATAGTGCTGGTGCATTACATCAGAACTGATTACTAATTTTTGTATGATCTAATACAAAATCTTAAATTCCTTTATTGATCAAACAATTTATATCTGGTTCTAATTAGAATATTCAGGGAATTTTCCTATTGTCTTTACAACAGCAAAGCCTCTAAATGTGTGGATAATCTGAATGACAGTATAAATGTGTTAACAATAAATTTACTAATTTAATTGCCTTCTTCACCCTTTCTTTGTTTCTTTTGTTTGTTTGTTTTTATGTTGTTTGAGAAAGTGTCACTCTCTGTAGTCCTGGTTGTCCTGGAGCTCTCTCTCTGTAGACCACGCCAGTCTTGTCTTTACAGAGATCCTCCAGCCTCTGTCTCCTGAGTGCTGGGATTAAAGACCTGCACCATGACCAGCCTTAATTGTCTTTAGAGTAGCACTATAGAAAACTCCTAAGGTTGTTAAAGTGTTATTTAGCCAGGTACTAATGCTCTGATGTAGAACTTTTTGGTTTCTACTTGATATTGTGAAATTTTCAGAATGGATTAATAAGCAGGTTTTGTCTTTTGTTTTTTTTTTTTTTAATAAAGAAACTGATATTATAGCCTTTTAGAATTGGGTCTTTTTTGTTGTGTCTTTTTGTTGTTGTTTTGTTTTGTTTTGTTTTTTAGAGACAGGCTATCTCTGTAGCTTTGGAGTCTGGCCTGGAACTCTCCCTCTAGCCCAGGTTGGCCTTGAACTCAGAGATCTGCCTGCCTTTGCCTCCTGAGTGCTGAGATTAAAGGCGTGTGCCACCACATCTGGTCAAATTTGGATCTTTTATTTACATCTTTATCAGGTTTTTTCTGTCCTGACTCAGGAAGATTCTTGAGCAAATTTTAACAGGTGTGCAGCTTCTTTTCAGAGTGGGGAGAGTGACGGCCGCTGGTCGGCTTTTGACTGCACCAGAAATCTCCGAGCTGCTTTCTTTACAAGATGGGTCGTGCCAGGCACTGGTGGCACATGCTTTTAATCCCAGCACTGCCTTGGACTGTATGAACACAAACACACACAATATAAAATGAAATCAAGAAAGAACTGAAGAACTATTTGAGGATCTAAACAGATGACCCCAGGATAAAATCTCTTGATTTTACAGAGGGCCTAGATCAGGTGCCCAGTACCCACTTTATAACTCACAACCATGTTAACTCTAATTCTAGGGAATTCAAATTTCTCTTTCGACCTTAGGTACCGGGCATGCATGTACTACACACACATACATGTAAGCAAAACACTTAGACAATACAATAAAGAGTATTGAGCCAAGTAAGCTGATATAAATCTGCAGATCAGGGGGACGCGGCATAAGGATCACAAATTCAAGACTGACCTGGGCTGCATAGAGAGTTTTTTTTTTTTAACAGCCCTCCACCAAATAAGGCAATGAAGTAAAGGGGGGGCACCACTAAGTGATCTATCAAATCAAAATCTAGACACAGAGCCTCTGCACTGTGAACGTGTGTTTAGTAAGATAGGCATGTTAATTTTTTCTCTAGCCATTATCAGCTGACTGCATAGTTCTAAGGCAAATAAAGCAGATAAGAACTGCTTCTCGTATACATGGGATGGCTCGGTAAACATACAGTTACCTCTTCCTCTCAGGGGTCGGCAGAGGAAAAGATATCTCCACCATCACAGGTCACCGTGGGAAAGACATCTCTACTATTTTGGATGAAGAACGGAAGGAGAACAAACGGCCTCAGAGAGCAGCTGCTGCCCGCAGAAAGAAACGCCGGCGACTTAATGATCTTGATAGTGACAGCAACCTAGATGAGGAAGAGAGTGAGGACGAATTCAAGATCAGTGACGGGTATGGCCGGCCTCAAGTCCTGTTCCCTAGGTGCCACCTTAACACGGAGCCAGGTCCTGAGAGAGCCTTGGCTGTGCTAGGTTGTGGCTTTCAGTCTTTGTGTACATGGGCAATCTGGATTTTCAAGATATTTAAAATCAGATTTGAGATTCCTCATTTTGATTAATTTTAGATTAAAATTAAAGCTACGTTTCTGATTTTTTAATATTTAAAATTGTATTTAAATTTGATTAGCTATTATTGAAGTTTTATTTATTGACATGTTTCTTTATACTACCTTCTCTTACCCATCAGTGGTTTTTAATCAAGTGTGGAAAATTATAAAAGAAGTAAGTAGTTACTGTCTTCTGGTGCTCTTTAGCGGTTATAAGAGGCAGCTAGCCAATGTTAGCGCGTCTGAACCGTACTGTGGTGGTTCTCCTTTTCGCTCCATCGTGGATGTAGTAGGAAGTATATAAACCCCAGAAAAGGTGCCCTGCACTGCGTGTAACACAGATAAAGGGTACAGAAGGGAGCTGGCTCCCTATATAGTGGTCAGGAACCCTCACTGTAAGAATCACATTAGGATAAATATTCTGAGCAGGCCCGTGCATTTAGAGAGTTCTGGACGAGAGAAGAAAGCAACCTGAACAGACAAGCTCCTGCCCAATTTCAAGGAATAGTTAGAAAACTCCCTGAACAGAAAGAATATGGGGGTAAAATAGACAATGCTATGGTTAAGCCACAACCAGAACATAAAAAAAGAAAAATTATGGAGTAAGCCTTTTCTATTTCTCTTCTTTTGTCATGCATACAGATTTGAACTCTGTCCTAAAAATGTTTAAAAAAAAAGAATAACACCCAAAGGTTTGAGGTGTGAGGTAAAAAGATAAGTCTGATCTGGGTTATTGATGGTGAACATTCTCAGTCTCTGACTTACTTCCGTTCTTAGAAGTCTGATCTGGGTTATTGCTGGGTGAACATTCTCAGTATCTGATAGTTGAGCACCTGGTCCTGCCAGACTTACTTTAGTTCTTAGAAGCCATCTAAGATTGGGAGGACATCACCTGGACAAGTTGTTGGCTGGCATCTGTGTGCAGCATAAGTACCCCTCCCTCCCCATGGCTGACATCCCGTGCAGGACAAGTACCCTGTCCCTCCCCATGGCTGACATCCCGTGCAGGACAAGTACCCCGTCCCTCCCCATGGCTGACGTCCCGTGCAGGACAAGTACCCCGTCCCTCCCCATGGCTGACATCCCGTGCAGGACAAGTACCCCATCCCTCCCCATAAGTAGTCAACATTTTTATATTGTAAATGTATATATCAGGCTGGTAGATAGACGAAGAGGGGCTTGGAAAGTAATGGGCACTTTTGGATGTGTTGGATTTAAGATGCTCCCAGAGACCAGTGAAAGAAGTTTATGTGTGAAATTTAGCTTCCATTGGTCTTCACAGCTCCTACAAAGAGAACGGTAAGTGATAGGATATTTGTTTTATAGATGGAAGTTGACATAATTTTCCAAGTGTGCCTTTAAATATTACTTAATGTTTCATGGTTCATTACAGCTTGTGTTTGGAACTATGGAAACTGGTTTTCACTTCTAACTGTGCCTTTACAAACACTGAGTGCACCATTGTGACGTGTCCGGGTTTTCCTGCACAGATCTCAGGATGAGTTCGTTGTGTCTGATGAAAACCCAGATGAAAGCGAAGAAGATCCGCCGTCTAATGAGGACAGTGACATGGACTTCTGTGGCCGCAGACTGAGGCGGCATCCGTCTCGACCAATGCGGCAAAGCAGGCGCTTGCGGAGAAAAACCCCAAAGAAAAAGTATTCTGATGATGACGAAGAGGAGGAGGAGTCCGAGGAGAACAGTAGAGACTCCGGTAAAATACCTTCTGTTGTAGCGAGCAGCTCCATTGCTTTGTGACTTCCGGAGTTCCATGGCACTGGAATTGTCATTAGCTGTGACGTGGGCCCCTGCTGAGACACTGGAGTCCTTTTCTGATGACGTGATTGTCACTTTTTTTCCACACATAGCACATCTGAGAAAGTTCATGTCAGTTAATGTGTTACCTTCATATCAGCTCTTAGAATGTTAATAATAAATTCTTCTGGTGCCAAGTATTTTTGAGAATACTTTGGAGCCTGTCCTGGAACTCTGTAGATCAGGCTGGCCTCAAACTCACGGAGATCTGCCTGTCTCTGCCTCCCTAGTTCTGGAATTAAAGGCGTGTGCCACCACTGCCCAGCATACCAGGGCTTCTTTAAGGTTCTACTCACAAACTTTTATCCCCAAGATGCTTTTATACAATTTCTAGTACTTAAGTATAGGAAACAGATAAAGTGAGTCAAACATTGACTGAATAAATCTTAAAACTATTTCTCTTTTTAGTGATTTTTCTTTGCTTTGTTGTTGTGTCTGTGAAAGGGTATCAGATCTCCTGGGACTGGAGTTACAGACAGTTGTATGGGAGCTATGAATTGAATCTGGGTTTTCTGGAAGAACAGTCAGTGCCTTAAACCACTGGGTCAGCTATCTCTCCAGCCCCAAGTAAATGTATTTTTAAACCAGGTGGTGGTAGAGCACACCTTGAATCCCAGCACTCGGGAGGCAGAGGCAGGCAAATCTCTGTGTTTGAAGCCAGCCTGGTCTACAGAGCGAGTTCCAGGACAGCCAGGGCTCTGCAAATAAACCCTGTCTTGAAAAACAAAACGAAACTAAAAAATGTATTTTCAAAGATTCTTTTGGTTTGGACTTGGTGGATCATGCCTGTAATCCCAGTCCTCAGGAGGTCAAGGCAAGCAAATCATTGTGCATTCAAGGCTAGCCAGGGGTACATAGTGAGACCCTGTTGTTATGCAATTTAAAAAAATTCTGACCAAAAACATTGTTGAGTGAGTGTGGGGTGCATATTTCTGACCTGTCAGCTTTGTGTTTGATCTCTAGGAACCTTAGGCAGAAGGAGAGAGCCAATTCCCTTAAGTCCTCTGACTTCCACATGTACGCACGCACAGGGAGAGACAGAGACACAGAGAGTGAATAAATAAATGGGGGAAGTTTAATAAAACAGTTATTTTGGAATCCTAATTTTCATGCTGTTGATAACAGATGTGCTTAGCTTTGTGTGAGGAAAGCTTGTCTCCATCCAGTTGATGCTGCATGTCAGAGACATCTTCCCTGCCAGTGCTGAGAGTACTGCCTCGCAGTGCAAACTGGAGAAAGTGTCTTTGAACTGGATTTAAAAACTGGAAGTTCTGTTCTAATTCCACTCCAAAAGTCATTTGAATATTTTTGTTATAAAACTCAATTTAAAAATTCAGTCAGCATTTTTTAAAATCAAAACATTCTAACAATACAATCCAAAAACTAATTTGGTAATTACAAACTTTGGAATGATAATAGAGAAATATCAAAAACCATGTTTGCTGTAATTAAACCATTATGTTTTTTAATACATTTTTTTCCTTTGAGAATTTCATAATACAAACATAAAATGTATTTTGATTATATTAACTCTTTCACTTCTCCCCAGCTCCCCCCAGACCCACCCTCTCCCCTGGTATGCCTTTTTCTTTTACCAAATCCAATCTGTTGCTCATGAACTTGTGGGTTTAGGACCATCCATTGGAACATGCCTATCTGGGGCCACACCCTTACCACAAATGTGATTCTGTTTCCCCCAGAAGCCATCAGTCCCTCTTGAGTCCTTCAGTTCGTGAGCCCTTTCCTCCTGCATGCTCGAATGTTTACTGCCTTGATCGTGTGCAGAGATCCCTAGCTCTGAGATCACAAGCACAGCTGCCCTTTCCTGCCTGTCCAGAGACCAGTTTGCTCTTGTCTTCACCTCTGTCTCCTACAGTCTTCCCATTCCTCTGCCGTGATGGCCCTGAGCCTTGCAGGAGGTGGGTGTCATGGAGAGGTCCTGCTTGTGGCTAGGCACTCCAGCTTACACTCTGCACTCTGCCCACTGGTTGCCGTCAGCAGAGTGTAATGTGGAGTGTTATAAAATAGGAGTTTACAGCTTTCCCCTCTCTCACTGCTGGGGATGGAGCGCAAGGCTAACGCTGCATGTCCGCCCGTCTCCTTCTCGCCCTTCAGCTCCTCTCACTTCTCCTGCTGTCTTCTTTCCCTACATTTTTTTTTTTTTTTAACTCTTGGGAATTAGCTGATAGTATATGCATTTGCGAGACTGGGGTTATCCAGGGGATGCTTACCTGGCATGCTTGAAGCCCCACTACATATGGTGGACACCTGTGATCCCAGTTCCCAGAAAGTGGTGCCAAGGGGAGCCTGGGCTGAGGAAATACACAGATGTACATTTATGATATTTGACAAATTTATTTTTATTGTAAAGGAAATAAAATTTATAGAACTTATTCAACAAAAATATTTACAGCTGAGCTCCGTTAACTTTGCTTTTCTAGCCTAAACCTGTTAAACTACCAATGGTTTTAAATTTTGTTCTTTGTTCCCCTCTAAACAGAAAGTGACTTTAGCGATGACTTTAGTGACGATTTTGTAGAAACTCGGCGAAGACGATCAAGAAGGAACCAGAAAAGACAAATTAACTACAAAGAAGATTCAGAAAGTGATGGTTCCCAGAAAAGTATACGACGTGGTAAAGAAATCAGGCGAGTCCACAAGCGCAGGCTCTCCAGCTCGGAGAGTGAAGGTGAGCGGAAGGAGGGTCTCTCTGTGCAGCCCTAGGTGTCCTGAACTCAGTCTGTAGACCAGGCTGGCCTGGAACTCCAGAGATCCACCTGCCTCTGCCTCCCGAGTGCTGGGATTAAGGGTTTGTGCCTTCACTGCCTAGCTGATTTTTTTTTTGAATGCATATAATCACTAATGTGATTGGAATAAATCCTAGTACTTTTACTCCATTTATTAATTATAATTTAAATAAACCACTCTTGATAGAATGCTACTTTTTTTTAGGTCATTCTTATTTATTCATGTATTAATGTGTCTTTGAGTGCTGTAGTTTCATGTATGCTTACATGACAGAAGAGGGCGTCAAATCCCACTATAGATGTTTGGTTGTGAGCCGCCTTGTGGGTGCTGGGAATTGAACTCAGGGCCTCTGGAAGATCTCTGGTGCTCTTAACTGCTGAGCCAGCTCTCCAGTCCCCGGATGCTAGTTTTGATGGGTTCCGTCGTATTTAGTTCTTCTGACTTGCTTTGTGCCTTACTCTTCTCCTTGTTGCTTTTGCTGTGTTTTAAATACCTCTCGTGCACTGAGTAGCTAAGCACGTTCACACCCTGTTATCTCATCCTTCCCCATTTCACTGCATTTCTGCTGGGGTTTGTTTTATGTAAGCTCTTGAGCTGCACCATACAGAAAAGGTACAAACTATTATAGGTAGGACAAGGTCTAAAATAATAATTTGTAGGAGTAGGAGAGGTGACTCAGTGGTTAAGAGAACTTCTTATTCTTCCAGAGAACCAAAGTTCAGTTCCTAACACCAGCATCAGACAGGTCACAGCCATGTATAACTGCAGCTTCTGCAAGTCTGATGCCTTCTTCTAATGGCTACAAACACCAGTACACGTGACATATACACTCACACAGACACACAAAATTAAGATAAATCTTTTAAAATTTTTAATAAGATGTATGATAGCCACTTCATTTTGTTAATCCAGACCTCTAAGATAATTTTAAATGATCTTGACTCTTATCTTCCTCCTTTTTAAAGCATTTAATCTGTTATTGTTTGTGATCTACTTTGGATATTACTTTCACAAATTAAGCATGAAATAGTTGAGATATGAGGGCTGACAAAAATATGTGGATGTAGGAGTCTAAAGGGGTGAACTCAGTCTGACGTATCATTATAAAGATAGAACCAAATTTATTAATTTGTCTATTTAAATAATTATGAGAATGTAAGATATGAGATAGATAAAAGGCTTTAGAAATATGGATTTCAGATTTCCTCGTTGAGAAAGAAATCACTTAGGGAGCGAAGTTAAGACCTAGTGGTGGAGTAGGTGCCCAGCATGTATGAGGTCCTAGTGCTCGGCTCCGGCACCACACACACCTGACTGAAATGTCGGGTAGGAGTTTGATAGCTATCTCCAGGACGAGTAATAGCGACAGATGCAGCAGCAAACCCAAAGCCTGTGCTAACTGCCTAGCACGTTCAGGGAAAGGAGGCTCAGGGTTGCTAGAACTCAGTGTGTCAGCATCAGAAGCCAGCAGGCCCACAGTTCACGTGCAAGCCACAGTTCGTGTGCTTGCATAAACAAACATTTTTTGCACATCAGGCTTTATTAGGAGATGGTCATATCTGTTTGTTTACATACTGTCTATAGCTTCCTTGTACAAAATGAATAGTTCTGATAGAACATGGGGAAGTCTTACTTGACTCCCCCGCCCCCCAAAGTTGGTAATTTCAGAAAAAGAGCAGAGCTGTCTCACTGGATCTCTGCAGTGCTGAGATAGTCGATGTCCATGCTAATTTATTCAGCAAGCACTAATCTGATGTGGCTGAGCACTTGAAATGTAGCAGGCAGAGCATGGAATGAAGTTTTGATTTTATTTTATTTCATTTCTTTTTATTTATTTTTTGTTTTGTTTTGTTTTTTAGGGGGACAGGGTTTCTCTGTAGCTTTGGAGCCTATCCTGGAACTAGCTCTTGTAGACCAGGCTGGCCTCAAACTCATAGAGCTCCACCTGCCTCTGCCTCCTGAGTGCTGGGATTAAAGGCGTGCGCCACCACCGCCCAGCCACAGTAGATCTTATTGAGCATTGTTGCATTTGGGGGTGGGAGTTAGATATCTATCAGTCCATTTATTGCAGAGCATGGTGGGAAAGATAGGAGTGCTTGAGAGCGTGTTTATGGTTAATTGTGTCAACAGCTTAAATATTGTTTATTCTAGAGAGCTATATGACCAAGAACTCTGAAGATGACGAGCTAACGAAAGAGTCTAAGCGATCTGTTCGGAAACGGGGCCGAAGCGCGGATGAGTACTCAGACGCAGATGAGGATGATGAAGAGGAAGGCAAACCATCCCGCAAGCGGCTCCACCGCATTGAGACGGATGAGGAGAGCTGTGACAATGCTCGTGGAGATGCAGAGCAGCCTCCCCAGGACAGCCAGCCCCGGGTCCTGCCCTCAGGGCAGGAGAGCAGCAAGAAGCCCTATCGGATAGAAAGCGATGAGGAAGAGGACTTTGAAAACGTGGGCAAAGTAGGGAGCCCATTGGACTACAGCCTAGTGGACTTGCCTTCCACCAACGGGCAGAGCCCGGGCAAAGCCATTGAGAACTTGATGAGCAAGCCAACTGAAAAGTCCCAGACCCCCAAGGACAACGGCACGGCCAGTGCGAATCTAGCCCCCAATGGGACAAGTGGTGGACAGGAGGTGGGGGCCCCAGAGGAGGACGAAGATGAGCTTTTGCGAGTGACTGACCTTGTTGATTATGTCTGTAACAGTGAACAGTTATAAGACTTCTTTCCAGTTTTGTGCTAATTTATTCCACGGTAGCTCTCACCAGCGGGCCAGTTAGTAAAAGCTGTTTAATTTTCCTAGAAAACGCCACCACGGAACGACTTTTTACAAGAGAAATTTCAACAAATCCCGAAGTCTTTCTGTGAAGTGACCAGTTTTGAACTTTGAAGATTAATAATTGCTGTAAATTCCTTTTGATTTTCTTTTTCCAAGTTCATGGTCCTTGGTAATTTCATTCATGGGAAAAAAAATCTTATTATAATAACAACAAAGATTTGTATATTTTTGACTTTATATTTCCTGAGCTCTCCTGACTTTGTGAAAAGTGTGGATACGAATGCATTCCGAATCTGTGAGGGCCCAAAGCAGACTTCGGGCGGGAGAAGCACTTGCGCTCTAGCTTTTCATATTAAATATATATTATATTTAAACACTCATGGCATAGATGGTGATTAACAAGCTGTTTAAAGGTCCAGTCTACTGTTGCAGTTTGAGAATTGTAGATACAACACCGTACATACGTCACTTAGTAGTAGCCTTCGTGAAATCAGTTTGTTTGCTCTTGGAGTTACCACGCATTAATAAAGAAGAGACCATGGAAGTACATTATAACAACAGTTTAACCTAAGTTTCTGTTACAGTAGAGTTTCTTGTTTTTAAAAAAAAAATCAGACACACAGAATCATCTGAAAAGCATCTGTATAGGAAATGTTATACCACTGCTCCGGCAACCAGATCATGAGAGCAGAGAGTCTGGAGTAGCTTGCATGCTGTAGTTGTATGATGGCCTCTGCACCGTGTCAGGTGGGGAGCTGGTGCAGAGTGAGTGTGGGTTTCCTACTGTGCGGGTACACTGTAGTCGTGTGAGCTCTTCCGGCCATGTGGTGTTAACTAGCTGAGATGTGGTTTCAGTGTAATCCATCTAAACATAGCCTATATGGAGATGCTAAGCTGACAGTGGTCTGTTAGCACATCTGAAGACCCAGAAGGGGTTTCAGGTGAATTCTCACTGGTCTGTCCTTACCCTTTAGTATCTACTTCAAATTGAAGTCTACAAGCAAAGCAGTTCCTTTGGGAGGTTTTTATTTTTGAGTTTAAGTGTGTGTGTGTGTGTGTGTGTGTGTGTGTGTGTGTGTGTGGTGGAATTTTCTATCTGCCTGGATACATTAGCAGGATTTGAATGTAGTTCTGGCATTTGGCCATTCTGTACGTCTATTAAAATCCATTGATAGTCACACAAACAACAGACCTGCGAGCCGCTGGTTTGCTTCCATTCTAAACCTCTCAACACTCGAAGGATTCGCCCTGTGCTTGGAGAATCGGCAGTTTCTGATGAGCTAACGGAACATTGCTGGCACTAGAACGGGAACTTGATCTTAGTTTCTGGCACAGCCCTAAGCCCGTTAAGCTGTAGAATTTGTGACTCTTCCCGCCTGGCACGGCCTGAAGCCTTCAGCGTTGCTTCAGTGCGTGCCTTTGCCCGGGATCCAGGTTCTCTGTTCCAGTGTTGTCTGTTGCCGGCAATAGACGGACCGTATCTGCTGCTGGCCCGGGGAACGTCATTCTTCTTTTACAATTAAGCATTGTATGTTGTAGCCCGTGTACAGTAGACCACTTCTTTGATATCATTAAGAGCTGGCATCCTACAGACCTCTCTGGAAACCTCGTGCTCCTACTTTCTGCTCCTTCACAAATCTTGCCTTCCGGCCTTTAAAGTTTAGTGCTGATTTTATTCTTTCTGTTACTGGATTTCTGTTTCACTTTAGTTCCGAAGAACTTGAGCAATAATATTTTTGCTTTGATTGTAGTGATGAACTTGTGTTTGCGTAACAATGAAACAGTGAGAGCAGCTTAAAGAAAACCCAAGGATGCAGCTGCTGCTGCAGGACCAGCTGTGAAAACC